CAATTGAATATGGAGAAAACACCCCAGCCCAGTCCAGATCAAGTCCATAAATCCGATATTAGCCCATATGTCTGATACCAATCTATAAAGTCCTCTTTAGACTCATGAAACACATGCAATGAGGCCAAATGCAGGAAGATCACAGGCCAGTGGGTAAAAAGTCTGTGGATCCAGTGGCAGTTAAAACATCTCAGCACTGGCAGTGTCTCCACGTGGCTCCTCCAGCTCCAGGGTTCTAGCGTAGCTCCATGTGTCTTGTCAGCTGCAATGTCTCCCAAGGAGTGAGCCTGTGTCCCACCTCCAGCGAACTACTTATCTCCTTAAGGCCTCCAAATGTGGTCATCAAGCTGCAATCTAATTGACAGGCTAAACTCCACCCCGTCACTCGTAAGTCTCAAATTGACAACAGATTATGTAACTCCCACGCACACTAAAAAAATTATTGCTGACAATGCAAAAATAATTGGCAAAGAGGGCATTCAAGAAACCTAACGAAACTCAAGGTTGTAATATGGTTGGTTAATTCACTCAGAAAACTATGTCTTCTACATTTCTTAGCACAGAAAGTCTAATTTTATCCCTTAAGTAACTTTTTTCCTCTTTCTTTTCCTTCCTTCTCTCCTTCCATCTATCTCTTCCCTGTTCCTTCTCTTTCTTCTTCCCTAATTTCTCCTCCTCCTCTTTTCTTTCTTTCTTATCCTCATCTGTCTTCTTCTCCCACTCTTCCTTCTCCTTTCCCTTTCTCTATTCTCCCCTCCCTTCTCTTGTCCAACTCTTTGCCTCCCTCCTCTCGTTCTCTCCCCACTCCACTCACTCACTGCCAATGAGTCAATTCTGACTCCTGGTGACTCTGTAGGACAGGTAGAACTGCCCCCTATAGATTTCCAGAATGCTAATTCCTTAGGGCTGACTTTGTGGGTTGTAGCCCAACTGTAACTACTTTGCCACCAAGGCTCCTGCCCTTCATCCTTGGAGGAAGGTACTTCAAACATAAATTTTGGAAGAATTGAAGATAAGTAATGTTTTCAGAGCCTCTTGCATGTAACTGAAGTGTCTTTCAATGTTTTAGATTTCAAGCTAAGCTATGATTATGAGAGTCGGAGCTCTGATGGTGTGGTGGTTATGCGTTGAGCTGGGGTCCACATGGTCAGAAGTTCCAACCCACCAGAAGCTCTGCAGGAGAAAGACTGGACTTTCTACTCCTGTAAACAGTTCCTCATCATGAGTCAGAATTGACTCGATGGCAGTGAATTTGCATTCGAACAACTAAAAGAATAATGTCAAAGTTACACAAGAATCACCAGGAAAAACTTGTATTCCCACGATTCCCAACCTTGAGCCCAACCAAATCCACTGTCATCAAGGCAATGGTGACTTGTAGCAACCCCAGTGGGTTTCTAAGATTGTAACTGTTGACAGGGTGGGAAAAAACAGCCCAGGTTTCCTCCCAGAGGAGCTGCTGGTGGTGTCAAACTGCCGGCCAACATGTGACCACTACACCAGAATGGTGGCTTTCATGTGCCAACTTTAGGCAGCATAGTAAGCCTTCCTAAACCTGGCAGGAGACTTAAAATAGATTTCTTTGCAGGACCTTTGAACACCAACCTTTATCAATTCCCACTCAAGAAAGACTACTTCTACCTTCTGTGAGCAGGACAAAATAAGATTGTGGTTATTTATGGGGCAAAGCACATAAAACAGACAGGGATGTGGTGGTAGAAGAAACGCATTTTGGATGTACTCAT